AAATAAGCACAAGTGATCCTTCAAATAGGCATCACACATTCTTGTTAGGGCTCGGGATACATGTCTTCTTGATTAGGCATCTTTAATTGATGTAGAATTTATTCTATAAAGTCTTTCCTAAAGTTCTTATTTGCAGAACAAGTAATCTTCACAAGTAAAACTTGACTTAGTCGAAGAAGTTTATTTAGAGTAATCCAATCCAAATTTTCATTTCCCAGACCAATGAGAATTATATGGAATAATATTTATATTTATCTTCGTAACGCGTCATTTAATATAAAATAATCCTCAAGAAATATTTAAGAAATAATTAATTCATGATATATATACTAATAACAGCCACTTAAGCTAGAGTTTCTCTCGCAAAACCAAGGTTTTATAGAAGCTTAGCCCATGGGATTATGAAATCTTTCTTTCACACAAATCACCTATTAGTCCAAAGACAAACAGAATCCAATGAATTGGGCTTTCATCATAATTCATTGTTTAAGCCTAATTTTCTATCCATTACAAGTTGATATTTGTTCTCTTGATTAACAATGCACACACCACTACAACAAAATTGTTCTACAGCGGCATTTTTAGTGTCGTTTTGAGAGTAAACGTCCCTAACTTTAAACATATAGCGGCGTTTATATTCCAAACGCCACAAAATTGTAATTTAGCGGCGTTTACGCCGCAATAGGTTCACACATAGTGGCGCTTTTCAACAAAAGCCATGACAGAGTAGTACTTTAGCGGCGTTACGCCGCTATAGACGTGCATTTTAGTGGCGTTTTTATACAAACACTGCTATAGACTTGTACTTTAGTGGCATTTTTATACAACGCCGCTATAGACTTGTGTTTTAGTAGCGTTTTTAATTACAAACGCCGCTAAAGACTAATACTTTAGCGGCTTTTTTATAAAAACGTCGCTATAGACTCTTGTTTTAGTGGCATTTTTATACAAAAGCCGCTATAGACTTGTGCTTTAGTGGTGTTTTTCATTACAAACGCCGCTATAGACACGTGTTTTAGTGGCGTTTTTGTACAAACGCCGCGAATTTACAGTTTTTAAATCCCACTACCCTTAAACCCTTTTTTATTTCCTTGGCATCATCTTCGATATCGAACCATCCTCATCTCCTAAAACCCTAACAATCATACATCATCCTCTCCTGAAACCCTAACAACCGTACATCCTCCATTACCTTGAAAAGAACAGCAATCTGAGATAATAACACTTAGTTGTTAGAGGGATAATGGGATTGAGGGTTCAAGGAAAAATAAAGGGGTTGTTCAAAACCAAACCTTGGACACCGGTCGAGATGGTGCAGTACTTGAATGAGCTTCTTCTTTTCGTCCTCGGTAACACCGAGACCCGCGAAAAGAAACGAGCAGAGAAAGTTTTATTTTTTTGGCTGATTTTCGTTATATGATTCTTCGTTCTGGGGTAAGCATTCAGATCTGTAAGAACTGTTGAATACAAATCGCTTTTCTTTAGTTCTTTTGAATTATCGAGTGGAGGATCTTGATTCAATTTGCAGGCCCGTCAAAATGTTACCCATGTGATTGCGAATCTACAAAAACAAAAGGTGAATTCAAAAGTAATTACTTCCAACTATCTGGGTAATAACTTGGATATCATGGATACTATGTTACCTTGGTAAGATTTTTTTTTCTCTTGAAATATTCTTTTTCGATGTATATTCAACATCAAAATACATGAAAAAACTTAATGCTTGTATGAAAAAATCGAATCAAATTCCGGGTTCTAACCGGTCGTGCTTGTGTGGAAATCAGTTATGAAGACGGTGATATTGCATGGACTTATGGTTCAATCTTAAGGGAGTGCATCCGCCATCAGAATGTTGCTAGGTAAGAACATAAAAAATGGTTAATGAGTGATTTGTTTTCAAAGTGTTTGACAAAATGCTTCACCAAATGTTTACTTTTAGTAATTAAACTGAAATGTTATATCAGAAACTTGAGCATAATTTGTGGTGACGAATATCAAACATATCAATTAGCACGATTAATTATGTTCTTCGATACTGATTTGCTGCCAATTCTTTCATAATCCATTATCTGCTAAGAATTAAAAGGATCGAACAATGTCATACACTCACAATTGGGACCAGTCTACGTAGCACAGAGCCACAGACTATAGAATTTGAACCCATGGTTGCTTAGTTACATATATAATTATAGTGCTCATAATTCCCTCAGTTTATTGGGGGGAAAATAAGCTTAAAAGTGATGATTTTGGTGGGTTGCTTTACAGGTATGTCTTGGAATCATACCATATGAAGAAGTTCTTTCAGTATCTGCAGAATCCAAATTTTGACATAGCATCAGATGTTCAAGCCACTTTTAAAGTTGAGTACAATTTTGTTCTTTTTCTTTTGTGTGTGTTTTAGTTTGTGCAAAAAAAAAACAAGCATGAACTCCTGAGTGACACACAAAAACATATGTGCAGGAGCTTTTGACAAGGTATAAATCCACTGTGGCTGAATTCCTTTCTGCAAATTATAACTGGGTAAAGTGCTCGATTCCATACACATATAAGTATATATCCATGTATAATCATAGTGAGTAATATAAGAACGTGTTCAGAAGTTGGAAAGAACCATTTAAATCTCTGATGAAAATGTTATGTTTCTTATACTATAACATAAAGATGGAAAGAACCATTTAAATTTCTGATGAAAATGTTATATTCTTACAGTTTTTCCATGAATACAACACCAAACTGCTACAATCGGAAAGTTACATCACCAGACGACTTGCTGTGAAGGTATAATACACTATTTTTGTTGGTGAGAAGTTTAAGAACTTTGGGTTCTCAAAATAAAGTAAAAATACCAACTTTATCATCATTGCTTTTTTATTCCCACTTCACAACTATCTCATGCATATGATTTTGACATCTCTATATGATGTATTTCATTAGTTCGATGTTTTTATCCTTTGATAACAATAATGGTGGTTAAATTTTGTCTAGTTATATTCTGATAGTTAATTACCTACAATCTCATACCTCTTTTATTTATATTTTTTTCCACTCTCCTTAGTTTACATTATAATTGCTACGATTGATGAATGTATAGGGACATGCTTGTAGAGTCCATGTTTCTACAAGCTCTTAATCAAAGGTTCTTTAAAATATCTCGTGGAAAGGATCTACCATATTTCTCATGCTCTGCTGCCTCTGATGATATTGTTCGCCCTTTAAAAGCTTATGTTATTAGCTCTTATTGAAAAGAAAAATGGACTTTACAGGCCCTATAATCAATGCTATTTGAGGTTTGCTATCCATTTTTCTTTTCTCTTTACTTTTATATATTATGTCTTCTTGTTTCTCAATAATATCATGTTGTAGATTCGAGACTCCAAAATGTGCTCTGTTAACTGCTACGGTGTACAAAACACCAATAAGGGACTCACCTATTGATTTGGAAGGTGAAGTAATGTCCATTTACATTGAGATAAATATTGTTTTTCTTCTAGTGAGAATCAAAATAGTTTTGTTGACAAGTCCAGTAAAATGAAAATGTCTTATATATTTACGCAATTGTTGCATGCTTCTGCATTCTGATTCAGTTCCGGTTGGTGAAGATCAGAAGCAGTATTTAGAGTTAACTCGTGAGTTAGCTGAGCGTGAAGACTAAATTCTAGTGAACAATATTTTTTTAATTGAAAGTGAAAGTACCTAGACTAAATTGTAGAGAACAATGTCAAACTACATTACATTTAATTTTAATGTTTATAAATTTTAAGTTATTTTGTTCTTAAGTATTTTTCTACATTACTTGTGTCTTAATTAAAATGTATGGTTGTTGTTAATTATATAAAGCTACATGATATTAAATTTAGGTGATGTGGAGCAGAAATGAAATATACAAAATCAATTAATCATAGTCAAAGAAAGGTAATTAGCGGCGTTTGTATCCAAAAACATCACTATAGATATGACCTTTTGCGGCGTTTGTCCCAAAAATGTCGCTATAGATCTTGATCTTTTGCGGCGTTTGTTCCAAAAACGCCGCTATAGATCTGGATCTATTGCGGCATTTTTTGTTCTCAAACGCCGCTAACTTTAGCGGCGCTGGTATGGCCAGAGCTTCTTGCGGCGTTTTTCCTATCGCCGCAAGTGTTTTTAGTGGCGCTTAAAAACGCCGCTAAAACTCGAGACATCTAAGAATAATAACACTCCATTTAACCATTAAAATCACTTGATGGGTTTAACATTTAAATATTTAAAAATGTTTATTGTAGTGGTATTTGGTTGAGATAGAGGAGATTTAGGAATGAATATTTGATGAGTTAGAGTGAAAAAAATATTAATTAGTCGAGTTGATGAATATTATTTTATCATTTAAATTTTATTTGAAATATTTTGGAGTCGACTTTATGAAATTTAAATCAAGTCGAATTAAATATATTTATTTAAGTTTCTATTCAAATTTAGTTGTAATAATTTATAATGTTATGGTACTGTTTTGTTTCAATTTAAACGACTCTTTCTAATCGTATACGATAAACATATATATTTCTTCGTATTCTTTTTCACATGTGTAGTCAATTTGTAATGTTATCTAATAAATCAAATATTATATAAAATTATATAATATATTTATAATATTATTTTTTAAGGATTAAATTTCAAGAACATATATTGATGGGAGTATAAATGAATCAAATAATTGATCAAAAGAAAAAATTATAAAGAATTAGAGTAGGAGGATCAAATCGACTAAAATGACTTCAATTGAATAAATAATTAAATTACTTAGTTAAAAATTAAAAAAAAAATGAAATTTTACTTGTGTGAAGTTGATCGCTGTTTCCTAGCTATTTGGCTTTTGCTTGACTCAAAAGTTAAGTGGCAATAGAGATATATGACGGTGCCATATTAATTGGAATTTAAAGAGCTGTCTCAGTCAGTCTCAACTCCCAACCGCACAGTTAATCAGTGTGAGCCCCGTTCGAAGCCATTGCAGTTGGAAAATTAAATAATTCGAAAACGAACACAATCATAGAAACAAAGGTATACAACTTAATCCACCGTTTATGAACACATAAACGCACTGATCACAATAATAAAAGCTTCAGCACCTCTAATTCCACTACTTTTACACACAAAATACGAAAATCCACAGTGAAACTCCCAAAGCCATCCCAAATCCCACCCATCTCTTCCCTCTTCCTCCCTCACTCTTCTCTGCAGCACTTGATGCTCTGCTACTCGAACTCCCTACACACATCATAACAAGTTTTACAACTAATTAATCCATATCCGATATCGCATTCACAAGACTCGAAATAGACTGAATATATATATATGTTACCACTGGCAGCTGGGGTAGTGGCATGTGCCTCTGTCATCTTTTGATATCCTTCAAATAATTCAGCGTCCTTGGAATTGGGTGCCAAGTGCAGGAGGGCTTAATTCACAACAACAAAAAAACATACAAGGCAATCGAAACTCAGAGTAAAGGGAAAATCAAACTTGTAAATATTATGTACATATGTATGTATGTTTTACTTACAGATACAGTTAGTTATGTTAACTGGGACATGACAAATACTAGGAAGGGTAGCTGCGAGACTGGTGTTGATCTTAAGCCCTAGGCTTGGATCATCTTTATCTTTAAGCAACACACAGAGGCATTTCATGCTTTTATCCTCCACCTGTTTGATCCCACCGCAACAGTCTACGGTGGGCGTTTTTGCCTTTCCGCCGACGTACTGGATACATGGAGCAAGCCCCACTAGCTTATCAGCGCATTCTGCTTTGTCTTGGTTGACATCGGAGCTCACGATACCGAGCAGCATCGGAAGCAAGATGAATGAGAGTGTCAAGCTTTGATGTTTGGTGTCCATGGCATACAAGATGTATCCTTTAGAAGCTTACGGAAAGGGGAAGGTAAAGCAAAGGAGAGAAAGTTAAGGGGTTGAAGCAAAGAGTGTTACAGGGCTTTTAATATGGTTGTAAATACTAAATATAAAAGAGAAATATATTTGGAATCAAAGAGACAAGCAAAACTTATTTACATGTGACTATGGATTCGCTTGTCATTAAAAGAAGATATGTGCATTAATTCTAAATAAATTTAATGTTACTACTAGGGATGAATCTAAGTGACTCTGAAAATTTCAAATTATCATATATTTTAGATATTTTTTTTATATTTTCTATTGATAATCTATTTTTCCCACGTAGAATTTTATAAATTCGTCCCTTCTAAAATTTTAAAAATCCATCTTTCCACTAACATAAAATCCTATGTTCATCCTCGATTACTCCCTCGTATTAACATTTATTTTGTCCGAGGGATGAAAATGCAGTATTTAAAATTTATTTATGAAAACCAACTTTTTCGGGTACTAAAGAAAAGCATTTATAAGAGAATAAAAATGGGTCAAAAAATTTGGTGCAATACGAGTAATTTGAGTCAGATGCATGTGCTATGCGTAAATCAAATGAAGGAATTATTAATGCAACTTTATTCAAAAAATTTGGCCATATATATATATATATGAATATATGATGACAACTGCCTACCAATTTCATTTATTTCACATAAATCATATTAAGGAATTCTGTATATAATTGAGAATGAAGTGTCGACTTTCGTTTTCAATTCAAATGACCTTGATGTAAGGTAAGATGTACCAACCAAACCATAAGGGGACACGATTTTTATAGTTGCAAAGAAGTATTAAAAATAAAATTATTCTATGGATACCTCTGTCTAGGGTAACTTAAACTCGATTGAACTATAAGATTTTTGTTGTTGTTGCATATAGGTGTATTTTAGTCATTTTATAGAGTCTTAAAGCCTTAAACCACTTAGCATTAGGGGTACCTTTTTTTAATCTTATATCCAAAGTGTAGGGCTTCAAATCTATTTATTAAGTATTTCATAATTTGGAGGTCTCCTATAGAAGTTACTCTCAATTTAGTGTTGGGACCAGCCTATTATCTTACCCCCTACTCCATTACATATGGGAACAAGAGACATCCAATTTTAAAAGAGATAGAAATGTGCTTAGAAAATGTAAGAAAAGACATGAAAGGCCCATCCTTTCAAAACTCTACTAAAACCCTCACCATTCTAAGAACACCATTGTAGGAGAAATTAAGCTCAATTTGAAGCTCTCAAGATGAAGATGAAAAAGCTTGTCACCTAAGAGCCATTCATGGGCAAACCAACCAAAGTAGAATAAAATTCAACTAATCATCTAGAATAGACGGCGCATCGGAACAAGTCCATCCCTGGAAAGCTTGTCAGCTTCGAGATTTTCTCCGCTCGGGGCATATTGAACTTGGCAAGAACAGTCCATACAAAAAAATTTCATTGGAGAAGGATGAGAGTAGGGATGGGCATGGGACCCGAACTCGACAGGTTCTGACCCGATCCGATCGGGTCGGGTCTTTTTAAAAATTTTTGGGTTCAGGTTGGGTCAGATTCGGGTTTAGGGTGAAAAATACTCGACCCATGGACATTCCTCTATATATTTAAGAATAATTACAATAATACCCCTCTATATATTATTTTTCAATTAAATCACTGTTTTTATTCAATAAAAATAATATTTTTTATTATTTCGGGTCTGATCAGATCGGGTTAGGATTTTATCTCAAAAAGTCTGGTCCGGTGGAGAGTATATATTTTTCGGGTCGGGTGAAGGATGAAAAATTTTCAGGTCTGATCGGGTTGGCCGAAACCCGACCCATGGACATCCCTAGATGAGAGTCTGATATCAATAATGGGCCTCCAAATGGCATGAGAGTTTCTTGAAGCGCCCAATGAGATGCAAATTATCAATTACAAGCTACTGTAATTGCATGTCTCAATCAAATGTAAAATGGTTGTTGTTTTTCTCAATATATATCCTCAGAAGATGCCTTGTGAAATCATGTCTTCTATGTTAGGGTTGTTTGATTTTTCATCCATGGGAACAATAATAGAGTTGTAAATGAGATGAGACATATCGCGTGCTATTTGAATTCGATTCAATCAACATTCTACTTGAATAGATATGACTCGAGTTCAAATTTAATTTGAGTTTTTAACGAGTCGAAACGAGTTACTTGATACTCGACTCGAAATCTCATGAGCAACTTAAAAAAAGTAATATATTAGAATTTTATTTTTTAAATTAAATGATTAATAATATTAGCATTTATATGTTTTTTATAAAAAATATATAGTATAAGATTTTCATGTACTTAAGTTTCAGGTTAGAGCTTGAATTTGAACCGAGCAGTGAAAATCATGATAATAAAATCTTTGATAAAATATATCATACTTTAATTTGAAAGGTTTTGAATGAAATGAGTCGGTCTAATCGCGGATCCACTAAGTGTGAGGGTGAGTTAATATTCATCTTAAAATTCAAATTTTCTTATGATAGTTATTTATTTTATTAATTATCTCCACCTTAAAATTTTATTTGTGCCTAGTCCATACAAAATTTTATATTGTAAATATATTTATATTTATATATATATATATATATATATATATATATATATATATTATGTCCACCCTTAAAATATTTTTGAATCCATCATTAATTCAACAATTAAAACATAACTAAATCAAATTATTTTTTACAAGTCGGCAACTTGGATAAAAATATTAAGGACATGAAAGACTTTATGCGTTTAAAATTTTGAATTAAATATGTATCTTTTACTATTTAACCCTTCATTATTAAATCTTACTCCATCTATGCTCTGAATAAATGATGTACAATTTTCATATCAGTGTGATAAAAGGATACATTTATCCGATGTGTTAATACCCGTCGTTGGCTGAATTGCTCGTGTGAGGTTATGAACAAAATTATTGAATATCGCTAAAAATATTTTTTTAAGATAGTGTAATCGTTACAGTATCAGAGAAGATGCCGGAAACACAATACATCTTCTCCATTTTTCACGCGATTGAAACCCCAAAACTGTCAAGACTCTCAAAGGAACAAAATTGAAGTCACACTGTGGTTGTCGCATCTTCCGGAAGACGCATTGTGTTTCTGACGACTTCCGACGAATACTGTAACATTCGCATTAGACCAAAAAAAAAATAATTTCAATGAGACCTTATACGAGCGGATAATTATTTTCACAATCCCACTCGAGCAATTCAACCCCTGTCGCTTTAATCAACTCTGTCGGTAACATTAGAGGTTGGTGCATGAAGTACGAGTGGTGTGAAATGTAAATAGACTGCTACCTATTCCGCATTATATATATTTTCTAGCCTTAAATGAAATTCTTTGGCTACATAAGTGTTGACTAACGCAACTAAACAATAGTTTATAATTAAGATTGTGATAAATAATAACTCATGGGCTCAATAGTTAAAATAAACGTTATTTTCTTAAAGATTTTAGATTCAAATAATTGTATATGTGTACGTTGTTAATACCTAAAACGAATCCTGAACAAATATTTATCTCGTAATCATCCCAAAATATTAAAAAAATTGTGATGAACAAATTTGTAGATTTTATATGAAAATTGCAAAACCTGTCTACTGCCACTTACCTAATAGATTGACAAACAAATTGCGGTCAATTTTCCTTTTCGCTTCCCCCGTGATCTCTCTCTATCAATATATAGTTTTGTTTTTCTTTAATTTAAATAATGTTTCGTTTTATTTATTAGAGCAAATGAGCGACCGATAGTGATATTAATTTATTCGATATCAGAACAATTTTGTACCCGATAAGTTAAGTTTGTTTTATGCATTTAAGAAACTAATACACGCAAAATTTACAAGGTAGCCCGATCATGAAAACAAGTCGGGTAATAAGCACACGGCCGCCATTAGGGCTATAAACGAGTTGAGTCGGATTCGAGTATTGCTGACCTCGATTCGAATTTAAAAAGTTTAAAATTATGCTTGACTCGACTCGAAAACTCGTGAGCTAAAAATTATTAAGCTCAACTCAAACTCGAAATATAATATTGAAACTTGACTTGAACTCGAAAAGACTCGAACTTAAAAAAAAAATCAGGAGCTCGATTGAAGCTTGAGACTCGGGCTCAATTGAAGCTCGATTCAAGGTCGAACTCAATTCAAGGTCGAACTCAAACTCGAATTTGAACCTACAAAAATCTTATATTACATTTAAAAATATATTTTGAAATTTTTATAATTATCAATAATATATTTTTAATACATTTTTAATAATGTAATTTTAAAAAATCTAAAATTATAATATAACATTTTTTTCGAGTAGTTCACGAGCTTTTCAAGTCGAGTATTAAGTAGCTCGTTTTAGTTCGTTAAGAATTCGAGTCGAGTTCGAGCTCGAGTTAAGTTCAGGCTCTAGTTGAATTCATTCAATTCGAGTGTTAATTGAACTTTGACCGAGCCAATCTCAAATAACTCGTGATCTGTCTCGTCTCATTTGCAGCTCTGGCTTCCATTGCAATAATGAGCTGAACTGAAACTCGATGGAACTGGTGTATCTAATGTCCTTCAACACGCTACACTGCCAAGCCAAATCATAGAGCTTATTAACACACGGCCGCCGTTGCAATTAATGAGCTGTTTTTTAAGTCACAGCTAATTAAAGTAATTTAAAATTGTTAAACTCGTTTTTTTCATTAAAAAACTTGTCGATTGTATGAGATAAACGTCAATATACTAATTATGATATGATAAAATTATATTTTAATGATATTGTCATTATTTTCAAGTATTAACTCGTGATAGATCCACGCATAATTTAGGATAGACAAATGTATTTTTTTAGATAATAATTTATTTTGTTAATTATGTCCAACCTTAAAATTTTATTTATTTTATCTCATATAAAAGTTTATATTTTTAATATATATATACATTCACCTTAAAAAATATTTGAGGATTCGTCACACACTAGTGCCGGTAGATAGGACTTCCCATGAGTCCCTTTTTCTGG